ACACACACACACACACACACACACACACACACACACACACACACACACACACACACACACACCGCGCGTGCGCGCGCGCGCGCATGCGCGCTCGCACACCTGAACTGCATGGAAATTGCATCCTTTTGCCAGGCTTTCTTGTGCTATATCCAGCCATTCCTTGCATTCGTTGTTGGAGAGATGGTTCAGCACTTTTGTTTGCTCCTCAGAGAACCTTTGCGCAGCCCGAATGTTAGCATGCAGGAAATCTCTTACTTCGTCCAAAGACAAGGACGCCATAATGCTTCAAAAGGTTTTAAGTTGGTAATGTCCAGTTGGTAATGTTGGCTGGCAGATCTCATTTTTTGCTTGTTTGCCTCATCAAACATCAAATTCTTCACTCAAAACATGTGATATTAAAATTCCAAAAAGAGAGTTCCAAAAGTCTCTTTACTCTGCTGGCACTGTTGGACTGCACCACGCGCTACCGAGCAGAGCATGCTGTCCACTGATTTCCGCACAGGTCAGTTCTGTCCCTTTCTGCTGACTCTGCTTGCTGTTGAAGGTCTGGAACAGTAGTCTTTCAGTGTCATCCTGCTCCTGTTGTTGCTGGACGTCTTTCTTCTTCCCCTCCTGTCACACTTCTTTCTGTCTGAAGTTCGCAGTAGGGTGTCATGCAATCTTTCACCGGTATGGCCCCCTTTCCTTGGTGAATGTGGGAAGTTTAAGCTGCCAAATGCTCACTCAATAAAGGTGGTCAGGGTGTTCAAAGGGAAATGCACAGGCTGCAAATGAAACCTTGAAGAAAGGGGTGCTGCTGCTGGGACCGCACCTGTGTCCATGTCTTGATGCTCAGACTTTTCATGTGGATGCTACTCAACTGTCATTGGCGTCTGCTGTGTAGGCGTCTAAATATGTGTACTAACATGCAACCATCCTGCTGCACAGAGATGCCTCAGACATATTTAATCGTATGATTATGATTAGCTCCTGCTTTCCAACACTTGATTTGTTGCAGGTGGATCCCCTGGAAATGTGCAGTGCGTTTCAGTGCCTCCGTGCATGCATACGTGCGCAAGTATATTATATAATATAACATTTGGTGGAATAGAAATCCGCGCTCCTGTGGCAGAGAGGTTACTGCGTCGATCTTATGAGTCGAAGGTCCAGGGATCGAAACCCTGCGGGAGCATGACGTAGTCACAATTTAGGATTTTCTTTTTCGGTTGACCTTGTGCTCTCCTTTTCGTAGCCTGCCCTGCAGGAGCAGGGACAGACAACTCCCTCTTTGATGGCCTGCCCTGCGGGAGCAATGACAGAAACCCCCCCCTTTGATGGCCTGTCGTGCAAGATCAGTGTCTGTCACATCTCCGTTTTCCAGAGGTGGGCAAAGAAGGCCCCAAAAAGAGGTCCTTTTGTGAAATGTTCATAGCACAGATGGCCGTACTTGGCATTTTTTGTGCTTAGCATCAAATGGTTTCCACACCTCCTTGATTTGAAAGGTGCTACTTGGGGCTGCTTCTGCTACTTGCCAAAACGTGAACCCTATCTTTTGAGTAGGCACCCACCATACCTGACCAGCCAGAGCACCAAAAAGAGTTGATTTCAGTGATTTGGAGTCCTTGTAGAAAAATATCATTGCAAAGAAAATGGAGTGAAAAGATTCCGTGCTTGGTCAGATACTGAATTTCAGCCATTTTCCTTCGAAAAAATCCAGCACTAGGGGTGCCAAAAAGGTCAATTTTTGACCTCCTTTATTCCCACTTTTGAATATGCAGGATCTTAGCATATCATATAAGGGTTATTCAGGAGGGTAGAGTTTTTGTAGCTTTTGGACAACAACTGTCAATCCAAATAAAAACTATACAATCGGAATACTGAGCTCTAGAGCTATTGATTGGTACATATATGGGTCCGATCGGAGAGGGTCGGGGGGGGGGGGGGGTGCTGGGGGGGGGGGGGGTGGAGTTTTTGGGACCCCCCTTCCAGAATTTTTCTGAGACACTTCTACAAAATTCAAGTATATCATTGGATTCCTGAGCTCAAGAGCTGTCGATTGGCACCCTCTTTGTGCAAATCGAGTAAAAGGGTGGGTCTGTGTGCATGGCTGGGAGTGCAGTGCCAAGCGCAAGGGTCTGAGCAGCAAGGGTGTGGGTCAAACACGCAGCAAATCAATCCAAACTCCCAGGATAGTGACCATGTATGATGTGTTCCTGCTTGCTGAAATCAGGAGGGCAATTTGTGGACTCTTATGCCAGTTCTGGGTGCCTGGTAGGGCAGGTATGCATGGGCGTCAGCTCCTCAGTTTTTGCCCCATTACTCTGCTGCGTATCAATATTTCATTGCGCTGAGTATGCAGGTTGATAGCTATTTGAAAGAGGGGCAGATTGGTACCCTTGGTGTCCGGATCCAAGCACTGAAAGGGTTTTTTTTGGGGGGGGGGGGGTCCAGGGGGGTCCAGGGCAAAATTTACACATGCTGTCCTTGGAAAATTGTTTTCTACCCTCCTGGGTTACTGATAAAATATTTTGGGGGCGGAAAATGGTCCCAGGGTGGGGCTGTGGGCCATTTTAGGGTGATCTGAGGCCAGGAGAGTGATCTGGGGTCCGCCGATTTTCTTCATTTTTTGGTGAACATCTTTTTTTTGGTTTTATAGTGATTGGCATGGTCGGATTTGGAAAATAATGGTGGGAAAGAACATTTTCAGTGGTTTGGGCCCGTTGCCCACCTCTGCCAGTTTTCAGTGATGTACAACTATGTGCCTCAGTTTAGAGAATGGGAAGCTTAACATCCACAGGTGCCAAAAGCCATGCACATAAAAGACAGGTTTACTTGAGCTGATAGGTGGAGATGAGAAAAATCCACACATGACTGTCCAAGATACAGACTTGGTGCCCAGCCAATCCAGTGCTATTCCAACTCTCAAATTGCTGATTGGAGGACATGGGCATACACAGATGGCAGCTGTAGAACCAGAAGGTGCTGGGATTAGTAAAACCATCGCTAGAGCTGAATCCATGAAAAGAAAGAAAAAGAAAAAGTACGTAGGCAGAGAAACTCTCCCTACATCAATTAAGGAAAAGGTGACACATTGGCTCAAAAAAGAGCCGTGTGCCCCCTCCACCACAAGGTGTGTAAAAGAGAATGCTAATGTGGATCTGGAGGGTTACTAGAAGCACCTGGCTCTAGAACCTGGCTGTGGGAAGTATTCTTGTTTTCAATAGCGCGGCGTGTGGTGACTAGTTTGTGGGCATATTGAACAGAATGGGCATGAAGTTGTTGAGCAAGCTTCATGGCACGCTGATGATCCAATTCTAGTTGTTTGAATTGCTTCAGGGTACGCTCAGTGTAAATAGTTCCACCTACACACAGGAGATAGGGTGGATAGCAAAAGCTTTAGCGTTAATAAGTTTAAAGGTCTGCATGCTGCTGCTTTGCCGCGTTCAACTGATGCTCTGGCCTTGTGTCTTCACAGAACTTGATTTCTATTAGGTGCACATGGCGTTCATTTGCATGAAGTTCATGGGGTTGTCTCATGCGGCTAGTTCTGGTGGTCCTCCGTGAGGAGCTGCGCAAAGCGTGATGGGAATGGGTAGGAGAAACACCGCTTGAAGTATGTTTAGCATTGAAAGGGGTGATCAAAACAGCATCTGTCGACTGGAGTTGAGTCTTTTCCTCTCTGGAAGGTTGCAAGGGAAGAAGTAAGCAGGTAAAGTTCTGTTTGAGGCATGTGTAGGGAGTTGGAGGTTGTGTTGAGCAAGCTTAAAATCGCTTCCTGTGTCTGTGTAAACCAGGCCTGCCCCTACAGGGCACTTGCTGAGGGCTTTTGTAATCATTCTGCCTGCAATGTTATGGCGTTCAGTTTTCATGTTGGAGATGATATGGTTTTGGCAGCCTGAGGGCATGTGTAGTGCGCTATCCAAGTGATGGCAGCCTGGGAGGGGACAAGATGGATCAGTTGACCTTTTAAAACGTACTGCATGTTTTTGGTTGTAGAGGGTGCCTGTGCGGTACTGCAGGACGGTACACTTCATGGGTACAGAAATGTTGGGCATATTCCTGAAGGCATTGCTGATTTTTTTATCTACTTGCGGTAATAAGTTTTGATAGTTTTGATAAGAGTAGTAGCCTGTTTTTGCATTGGCATATCCAAGCTTGTGTTTAGAATGCATGTGGGATTTGAGGGCATCTTGAAGATTGGGGAAATAGGTGAGCTTGTGGGCGGGTGGTGAACCCGCAGATGTGCCTGCAGCATGCAATCTTTCTTCCTTGGCTCACCAGAAAATATTTGTAAATGGATTTCCACCAGGACCTGCACCAGGGATCTCAGTGTCTGCCACGCAATTCTGGGCTTGCTTTGCCTGATGTTTTGCAATAGCATCTGCACATTCATTTCCAGCGATGCCAGCATGGGACTTCACTTCGTAAATTCGAATTTTGGTATGGAAATATTTAATGAGAGTTGAGATCATTTTAAGGACATCTCCTTGGACATGTCTCGGGTGTTTTTCAGGGTAAAAAAGTTGTTTACATTTTTGTTCGAGAGAGGTGAGGCTGTCTGATGCAATGTCTGCATGTTTGGTAATGATAGCAGCAACAATTGCTGCCAATTCCGCTCTATTGATGGTTTTAGTCATCCCAGCAACGTTTGGTTCTACATAGTTCTTGCTGTCAGTGGACGGGCAGTAGACGCCTGCTCCAATTTCTTGCTTACCGTTATGGATAAGGCAGCTGCCATCTGTGTATGCCCATGTTCTCCAATCAGCAACTTTGAGAGTTAGAATAGCACTGGATTGGCTGGGCACCGAGTCTGTTTTTTGGTCAATCATGTGTGGATTTTTAGGGTGTTTGGAGGAGGTGTGTTGTTTGTCCAATGGGAGGCTTTCCAGTTTATTGAAACCTGGCATGTGAGCATGCATGGAATTTAGGACAGGGTGGCCGCTGACATTCGTCAGCTTCCACTGTGTGGCTTCTTTCAAATCTCCTTTCAGGCCTTGTAGCAGTCTTTGTTACGGTTGTTGAGATGAACTGGAGCTGCAGTATTCCAAACAGCAAAGATACGAAGGTCCCAGGTATGCTCAGGAAGAGGTATCTTTTGATTAGGGCAGGATTGAGGGGCACTGTAACCAAGTTTTTTGCGAGGTTTGGTGCCAAGGTTGTAACAGAGGTGGGGGTAGGCAGTAACAAGTTTGGAGTAGGGGTTGGTTATCATGTCCTTATTCCAAGTCGGAAGGAACATGAATGTAGCAGCAGTAGCTTCTGTGTTGAGAATGGCAGAGTATATGGCATGTTGCAAAGCTTGGGTCATGATTCCCTCGTCATAAATGGGATGGCAGACTGAGAAGCCAGAGAATTTGGATGAGAAGGCATTATTCATGGCACCAAATAGAGTCTCTCGGGAGTGCGCCCTCCAATAATTCTGGTATTGTGGGTTGTGGTCTAGTGGGGAGGCCATTTTTTTTGGGTTACCAAAGCCCATTTTTTGAGGGCAGTATGGATGTGAGTTGGAAGGGCTCGCAAGATAGAGTCTTTGATCTTCTTGCTAGAGTACTTTCTTTCAAGCATTAATTTGCGGGAAAGGAGCCCTTGCAGCTCAGTAGCAAAGCTGCCAGGAGCTGGTGTTGTTTTCTTGTGCATGACAGCAAGCTTGGCCCCATAAAAAGCCCTGTAGAGGATTTGGAAGCGGCTCGGGGATATCATACCAACAAAACTTGACTTACGTATTGTAGATGCAAGCCATGTGCGCCATGTATATTTCCGGCAGAGTGAGGGGGGAAGGAGTAGGAGGGGAATGGCTGTGGGATCCTGTGTCAGATGATGCTAAATGAGGGGATTGCTGATCCGTGTACTTCACGAGGTCAACCTCACGCAGCCAATATTCGCATGAGCCTGTGGGTTTTATGTCCGCTTGTGGATTAGTGGGGTTTGTATCAAAAGTGATTGTGTTGCGCAATTCTGTGTCCATTTTCTGCTGCCACACATTGGTTTCATTAGGTTTTTCAAAGCCCTGTCTTTCATGATTTGAGAGGGTAGAATCTGCTGTGGGTGTTGAGAGGTTGGGCTCAGGGTTGATCAATTCGCCGGTTTGACAAAATAAATTCGCCAATTATGAGAAAAAATTCGAAATCCGGCGCATCATGCGAACGTATGTTTGCCTGCCAGGCAAAGGGGTAGCAACCACCTTAACCACCC